AGGAAACGCGGCATAAACTGTATAATATTCTTTCTATAAAATATATAACATCAACATCATCAACAACAGCGGTGGCAGTTCACTGGTAAAGCACCTGCTTCGTGTGTGGAAGGTCCCAAGTTCAATATGGGATGTCTACAGCTAGAAGAAACTCAAGAAAACAGTACTGTGGAAGGTCAGGGGCCGGGGCAAACCGCTACTAATCAAAATACAGAGCTCTGCATGCAATGGACCAATGATCTAACTTGGCATTAAGCAGGTTAACAGGCTCAACTGATAAACATGGGAAATGAGAACACAATAATAAAATTCCCTGCTGTCTCAAATCAGAGGACTGTTAAGGCAGCTTGTAAAGAAATGCATTTTTCCCTGGCAGGCTTGAAATGAGCAAAGCTGTCCCTGTGTGTTTTAAGGTTTTTTCCTCCCCTCTGGGCAGATGGGGGGAGGGGGGAGGCAGTTTTATTGCTTCCCAGACCTACCTCAGCTCACCTTCATACATATGCTAACACATCTGGCAGGAGAGATAACAGGTGTCTCAAGCTCTCTCCCTTCCCCAAGCAGGGAACAGAGATTTGGAGGTGTTAAACGCTAGAGAGTCTTCAAGAAGGAAAACTATGGGAATGTCAATGGGAGGGGAAAAGGAGATGATAAAGAAACCGCATGCAGCACGAAGGAGGTCTCTCTTCCATGGGTGCTGAGTCCAGGAGCAGACATAGACCTCTCCACTGACAAGGCAACACTGACCATGTGCTCGCTTAAAGAGCTGGAGTAAGCTTAAAGGTAATGAATATTTACTTATTCAAACTTTTACCCCACCCTCCCAGCCAACATCGGCTACAGAATACTCTGTAGAGATCTGTAACTTCCTAAGCTAAAGGAGTCTGTCCTATATTTTAACATCTGATAGGGCATGTACAGAGAGAGGGACAGAGGATTGCAGTTTTATCTATATTTTTTGTATTCCTTGCTCAGTCTGGTGCTGTGCTAAAAGCATGCTTGTTACCATTTTCTTTTTAATAAATACTTAGCAACCTTTTTGAGGCTGGCAGTGGTTCTCTGAACCACACAGAACTCCACTGTCTCAGACACGCTATTTTACAAGGGGCGCCAGGGGGAAGAGGCAGGCAGTTGGCAAGCAGCTATTCCTCCAGGGGTGTGCAAGGCCACAGACTGTCCCAGTAGTGAGCTGGTGCTGGGTAGTGGGAGACACAGAAGCAAGGCCTCAGAACTGGGAAGGGAAGCTGGAAGCCCTGACCCACCCAGCAGCCTACTCCTACAAAGGTCAGGTGGTGCTGGCGAGCTACCTGAGAGAGAAGGAAAAGCCTCTCCAGGGGTTGGGAAAAATCTTGGAAGGCAGGGGGGAATAGGGGCTGCAGACCAGAGCAGGCCCGTTCCGCCACACAGCTCAAGGGGTTTAACTGTATAGTCTAGAAGCATAAGGTCTACCATCACTCCCAAAAGTGCCACTGCACTTTTCTCAGTCTTACTTATGTGCTCAAAAAGCTCCACCCACGAAAGAAGTACTTTTCTCCCTTTCTCACAATACAGGAACTCGTGAGCACTCAATGAAATTAATAAGCAGTAGGGTTAGAACAGATCAAAGGAAGTACTTCTTCATCCAAACAGTAATTAACATGTGGAATTCACTGCCACAGGAAGGGGTGGTGGCTACAAGCACAGACCGCTTTCAGAGGGGATTGGAGAAGCATCTGGAGCAGAGGTCAATCAGTGGCTACTGGCCACAAGGTATAGAGGGAACACTCTGTCTGGGGCAGTGTTGCTCTGTCTTCTTGGTGCTTGAGGGGCAACAGGGGGAGGGCTTCTGGAATTCTGGCCCCGCTGGTGGACCTCCTGATGGCACCTGCATTTCGGCTACTGTGTGACACAGAGTGTTGGACTGGATGGGCCATTGGTCGCCTGATCCAACATGGCTTCTCTTATGTTCTCGTGTTAATTTGAACAGAGTAGGTCCTGGTAGGATTGAGGCCCAACTCCATTCCCTCTTCCTGCCCTGCTTTTAATCTGGGGTGCATGGCAAGGAAGACACTCCACTTGGATCGTGCTGGCCTCTGGTCTCCACAGGAGTCCTCTGCTGACACAAGGGGGAAGCTGAGAGGGTGGGAGCACGATGCCGCTAGAGATCCAACAGGTTCACCTTTGGCTCCTGCGCAACACAAGTTGACAGGCCGGTGGTTTTCACAGCCTAGTCTGTAGACCAGCAAACATCACGGGGCTAGGCTGGTCTCTTCCCAACAACAAGGCAGCGGTTGTTCTCTCCCACCTCCAGCAGCAAAGTCCCGACATTCCCGAGGAACAGAACTGCTGAGTAGGAGGCACTTCGAGCGCAAGACAGGGGGGAAGCCAAACTGGAAGACAAGAGGGGAAGCCTTACGAAGGAAGGTCTTTCGCCGCTCTCAAGCCCCAGCCTTTCTTCTCGGTCAGGATGACTTCCACGTCGGCATGCTGCTTCCTCTGGAATCGCCGGTTGGAGCAGGAATCCCCGTTTGGGCACCTCGAAGAACTGAGCGGGAGCAGAGCAAAACACAATAATAATAATAATTAAACAAAACAAAACAAAAACACCAGTCAGAAGATTTCCACGACCATGCTGGTATTTCTAGTGGTAGCCAGGCCCAGTGCTCCCTCTAAGCTGCGGAGTTTTGTGAGCAAAAATTCTACTTTGTAAGCTGCTGGTATTAAAGTTGTGAGTGAGCGATTTGGCTACTGCATCAATCAGTTTGCTCTGGACCCCTCCTTCCTGAGCTGAGACAAAAATGTGTGAACCGGAGGCTAAGAAACTGTGAGGTAGCTCACAGTAACTCAGCTTAGAGGGAATACTGGCCAGGCCCTGGATCGCCCAGGCTAGGCTAATCTCATCAGGTCTCAGAAGCTAAGCAGGGTCGGTGAACGCTGCGGAACTTTCCTACAATGTGTTGGAGATGTTAAAGTTTTAGCTTAACCTGCTTTTCCAATAACCCTGTGAGGCAGGTTAGGTGGGGAGCAATGTTCCCTCTAAGCTGGGAACTGCTGCCAGACTCAGTAAATGATACTGACTTTGACCAATCAAAGTTCTGATTCGGTGCAAGGAAACTTCACATGCTCACATGATGGAGACTGGAGAGAGCAACTGTGAGAAAGAGCTACCTTCTCTTTATTCCCTCCGCCCGGAGTTAAAACATTTCCACTCGGCCACAGCCAAACAGAAAACTGTGAGCTAGCTCACACTAACTCAGCTTAGAGGGAACACTGGTGGGGAGAGGCTGTGGCTCAGTGGTAGAGCCTGTGCTTGGGATGCAGAAGGTCCCAGGTTCAGTCCCCGTGTCTCCATTTAAAAGGTCCAGGCAGTAAGTTCTGTGAAAGACCCCAGCCTGAGACCTCGGGGAAATGCTGCCAGACTCAGTGAATGATACTGACTTTGACCGACCAAAGTTCTGATTCGGTGCAAGGCAACTTCACGTGCTCACATGATGGAGACTGGAGAGAGCAACTGTGAGAAAGAGCTACCTTCTCTTTATTCCCTCCGCCCGGAGTTAAAACATTTCCACTCGGCCACAGCCAAACAGATCAAATCAGTCAATCCTAAAAGAAATCAACCCTGACTGTTCCCTGGAAGGCCAGATAATGAAACTGAAGCTCAAATACTTTGGCCACCCAATGAGAAGGGAGCACTCACTGGAGAAGACCCTGATGCCAGGAAAGATTGAAGGTCAAAGAAGATGGGGACGGCAAAGGATGAGATGGTTAGACAGTGTCATAGATGCAACGAACATGAAGTTGAGCCAACTTCAGAGGACGGCAGAAGACCGGAAGGCCTGGCATGATCTGATCCATGGGGTCGCGAAGAGCCGGACTCGACTGTGCGACTGAACAACAACAACAGCCAAACCAAAAACTGGAATGCTTTTTGTCCTGACAAGAACAGATGTGGCAGAGGTTTTGGCGGAGTTTTGTCTAAGTCACGTGCAGAACGCGTAGATAAATGAGCTTTCCAATTACTTCTGCCTTGGGTCCCACCTGCCTTGAGAAAGGCTAGCTTACAGAAGTCCCCAATTAAGGCAATATTATAGGGGATGTGCAGTATATTTCTTATACAAAACACAGGTTTAAAGTCAGGTCTACAGGCCGATAGAAAGAGGGGAGGATGTATGATTTAGAGCCTATTACACTCAAAGTAGTTTACAAATGTTTTAAAAGTGTTTCTAAGTTCAATTCAAACTGTTGCCGCATATCCTTTAAACCCCTTCACAGCCTCGGAGCAACGTACCTCAGACCAAACTGCCCAGCTGGCAGCAGAGGAGAGGACCTGAAGCAACGGGTTTAAGTTACATGCAGAAAGGTATCGGCTGGATATCAGGAAAAACCTTTTCATGGTCAAAGTGGTTCAAAGGTGGGATCAGCTGCCTCGGGAGGTGGTAAGCTCCCCTTCACTGACGGCTTTCGAGAAGAGGCTGGACGAATATTTGTCAGGGATGCTTTAGGCTGGTCCTGCACTGGGCAGGGGGCTGGACTAAAGGGTCTGTATGGCCCCTTCCAACTCTATGGTTCTATGTGAAATAGAATTGTTCAGCAGCGTATTTCTATAAAGGTCGTGCGGTGGTGGAAAGTGCCGTTGTTGCAGCTGACTTATGGTGACTCCATCGGGTTTTTGCTCCATAGGGTCATTGTTCCATAGGGTTATTGTAATTGAATTTTAAACTGTTTTTATTGTTTTTATGTGAATGAATGGTCATTATAGACCAAGTATGTAAGCTGCCCTGAGCCCACTTGCGGGGAGGGCGAGTCATAAAATAAATAAATAAATATTCAAGGCAAGAGATGTATGGCTATGCTGTAACTTGAATGGTTCAGGAAGGCTGTTGTAAGGGGAAAGGAACTAGGGACTACACCGCCTGTGTATTATCCATTCGCTGCATACATTATCCTGTGCCGTCACTGCAGTATTTTCTGCTGATGGCATAACTGTTTTATGCCTTGCATCTGCATTCTGTATCATCTCTAACATTCTACGCTTGTTCAGATTTCTTAGTCTTACTACACTGCTTGGTAGTCGTCTCGTCAAATCGAATGCACCAATGTACACTGCGTAATCCACTTCTAGCCTAGGGGAGAAAAGCCCATGGGAAACTTCTCAGTCTTGTTTGGCAAGGAGCTGTTCCAGTTGGCAGCAGAGGAGAAGACCCGAAGCAACGTGTTTAAGTTACATGCAGAAAGGGATCAAGCTGGATATCAGGAAAAGTTTTTTTCACCGCCAGGGTGGTTTCAAAGGTGGAATCAGCCACCCGGGGAGGTGGTGAGCTCCCCTTCACTGACAGCTTTTGAGAAGAAGCTGGATGAATATTTGTCAGAGATGCTCTAGGCTGGTCTTGCACTGGGCAGGCGGTTGGACTAGATGGTCTGTATGGCCCCTTCCAACTCTAAGATTCTATATAAACCCACATTCCTTTTGTTCCCCCCACTCAGGTCCTCTCCACCCACCCCTGAGAATGGTTGGGTCCGCATCAACCCAAGCAAGAAGAGCCTTTTCGGTGGCAGCCCCATCCTTATGGAATCAACTGCATCATCCTTAACCTTCTTAGGAAAGGATGCAAACCGGAGCTGTTCACAAGAGCTTTTTTAGGCTCATCTCTATGGCTTATTTTATGGTCATTACAGTGGAGAGTTGCAGATAACTGTTTGATATTATGATCTGTATTCACTAAAACCAGCTTGGAGCGGACAGGAAAAGCGGCACAAACTTTTGAAGGAAAGAAAAGAGGAAGGGAATAATCAAAATCCCAGCCAGAATTGAAAGCAAAAGACTGAAACGGCCAATAATCAGCAACCGCATCACAAACCATGAAAGCATCCCTGGAACAGACAGATCTCAGGACTCCCGAATGCACTTCTGTGCTTTGGCATCAAGGAGATTCATCCTGTCATTGTCAATAAAAGACTCCCACCTAAACGCCGCTTCCAACTACCATCTAAACGCCGCTTCCAACCACCACGGAGACGATTCCATTTCACGAAAAACGATTTAGTCCTTCTGGCATGCCAGGATGCGGGTGGGTGACCAGAGGAGACGGGCAACTCGCAAAACAATCCTTACCATTCTATCATGAGCAGGCGGTTAAGGCAATCCTCTCCGCACGCAACCTCCCCCTGAGCTCTCTCGTCTTTGGAAAGCGTCGGGCACTCGCACAGCATCCGCTTGATGTCACGGTGCGACTTATTCTTCTTCCTGTGGAGAATCCCAAGAACAGGCCTTAGAACGGACAGCTTTATTTGTCTACAAGCAAAATTTAACTCTAAACAAACAAACAAACCATTTTGTTCCGTGAGGGCCTGAGAGGCTTCCCTTTTGGCTCGTGGGGAGCCCTGGGATTTCTACTCGCAGAGCAAAATGTTTGGAAACCACAGGAGCTTCCGCACATGTCCAGGTAACAAAAGGGCTTCTTTCGCTGCACTGACAGCCAGTGTAGTGCGGTGGTTAAGAGTGCTGGGCTAGGATCTGGGAGTCCCGGGTTCAAATTCCCACTGGTGCCATGGAAGCTCGCTGGGTGACCTTGGGCCACTTATTCACCCCCAGCCTCATCTACTTTGCAGAGTTGTCGGTAGAATAAAATGGAGCAGAGAACAACGTAAGCCACTTTTGGGCTCCCCCAATGGGAAGAAAGACAGGGTACAAATGAATTTCAAACCGGAGCTGTTCACAAGAGCTTTTTAAGGCTCATCTCTATGGCTTATTTTTGGCAATCTGACCAGTGGTCATTACGGTGGAGATTTGCAGATAACTGTTTGATATTGTGATCTGTATTCACTAAAAACAGCTTGGAGCGGACAGGAAAAGCGGCACAAACTTTTGAAGGAAAGAAAAGAGGAAGGGAATAATCAAAATCCCAGCCAGAATTGAAAGCAAAAGACTGAAACGGCCAATAATCAGCAACCGCATCACAAACCATGAAAGCATCCCTGGAACAGACAGATCTCAGGACTCCCGAATGCACTTCTGTGCTTTGGCATCAAGGAGATTCATCCTGTCATTGTCAATAAAAGACTCCCACCTAAACGCCGCTTCCAACTACCATCTAAACGCCGCTTCCAACCACCACGGAGACGATTCCATTTCACGAAAAACGATTTAGTCCTTCTGGCATGCCAGGATGCGGGTGGGTGACCAGAGGAGACGGGCAACTCGCAAAACAATCCTTACCATTCTATCATGAGCAGGCGGTTAAGGCAATCCTCTCCGCACGCAACCTCCCCTTGAGCTCTCTCGTCTTTGGAAAGCGTCGGGCACTCGCACAGCATCCGCTTGATGTCACGGTGCGACTTATTCTTCTTCCTGTGGAGAATCCCAAGAAGAGGCTTTAGAACGGACAGCTATGGCGTCAAGAAGCAAAATTTAACTCTAAAAAAACAAACCATTTTGTTCCGCGAGGGCCTGAGAGGCTTCCCTTTTGGCTCGTGGGGAGCCCCGGGATTTCTTCTCGCAGAGCAAAATGTTTGGAAACCACAGGAGCTTCCGCACGTGTCCAGGTAACAAAAGGGAACGTGCTTCTTTCACTGCACACTGACAGCCAGTGTAGTGCGGTGGTTAAGAGTGCTGGGCTAGGATCTGGGAGTCCCGGGTTCAAATTCCCACTGGTGCCATGGAAGCTCGCTGGGTGACCATGGGCCACTTATTCACTTCCAGCCTCATCTACTTTGCAGATAAAATGGAGCAGAGAACAATGTAAGCCACTTTTGGGGTCCCCAGTGGGAAGAAAGACAGGGTACAAATGAATTAAATAAATGTCAGTCTGGGACCCATGCACGGAGACTTTCTGTAAGAACTAAGATTGAGCAGCAGCAATGCTCCCTCTAAGTTGTGGAGTCGTGAGCAAAAATGCTACTTTGTGAGCTGCTGGCATTCAAGTTGTGAGTGAGCGATTTGGCTCCTGCATAAATTAGTTTGCTCTGGAGCCCTCCTTCCTGAGCTGAGACAAAAAATGTGTGAGGAGGAGGCTAAAAAAACTATGAGCCAGCTCACAATAATTCAGCTTAGAGAGAAAACTGGCGGGCAGTGTTCCCTCTAAGCTGAGTTCGTGTGAGCTACCTCACAGTTTCTTAGCCTCTGGCTCACACATTTTTGACTTAGCTCAGGAAGGATGGCTCAAGAGCAAGCTAAATTATGCAGGAGCCAAAATCACTCGCTCACAACTTTAATGCCAGCATCTCACAAAGTAGAATTTTTGCTCACAAGACTCCACAGCTTAGAGGGAACGTTGCTGGTGGGCACCAACTTTGCAGGCAGTCCATATTAAACTATAGGCCAACTCTTTTCTAGAAGGCCTTCAAAGTCAGACACATACTGGGGCAACGTGCATTGAGAATCACTCCCTTCTGTTTTATGGATGGTTTTATCCCACTTTCTCTTAATTTTATGATGCAGTTATGTGCTTTAACCTCTTATGACTGTCTTGAGGATCTTTGAGGGGGGGGGAAAGGCAGCCTAAAATACATCAATCAAACACAAACACAGCAGTTGGTGTCTAGTTGATATTATGCATGTCCTACCCAGGGGTCCCCCCCTTTTAACCCTTTGAGCACCATTCAAATTCTAGCACAGCGTGGGGGGTACAAACACAAAGTAGCGGCCACTGAATGGCTGCAACAGTTTACCTTCGGTCACACTGTGATGATCCCTGAGCTGCAATAGCAGCTAAAGCAGCATTTTAAAGAATCTGCACAGCCAAATAAATCTCCAACGGCCAATCAGAAGCCTGGCTGAGCCGGCCTTGGCCGGGAGGGCGGGGTATAAATTTGAGAAATAAATAAAAAGGCCCTACGTGTCTCCACACACTTTCTAAAAACACTTGACACATACCAGAAAGGGTGTCGGAGGGCGCAACACACTGGGGACTCCTGGTCTTACCTATATGCTGAATATAACCCAATCTACAGGCAGCATAAATTGTTCAAAACGGCAAATACTAGCTTGCGAAAGTTTCCCCTTTAGCCTGCCTTTAGCCATTAAGCTGCAACCACTCCAATCCAGCTACACACCCTGGTAAGCAATCCCAACACTTCTCCCCGCTACATAACCACATAAGCATGTTGGATCAGGCCAAGGGCCTATTAAGTCCAACACTCCATGTCACACAGTGGCCAAAACCCAGGTGCCATCAGGAGGTCCACCAGTGGGGCTGGAACTCTAGAAGCCCTCCCACTGTTGCCCCCCAAGCACCAAGAATACGGAGCATCACTGCCCCAGAGTGTTCCATCTATACCATGTGGCTAATGGCCACTGATGGACCTCTGCTCCATATGTTTCTCCAATCCCCTCTGAAAGCTCTCTATGCTTGTGGCCAGCACCACTTCCTGTGGCAGTGAATTCCATGTGTTAATGACTCTTTGGGTGAAGAAGGATTCCCTTTGATCTGTTCTAAGCCTACCGCTCCTTAATCTCAATGAGTGCCCACGAGTTATCTTATGGTGAGAAAGGGAGAAAATTACTTCTTTCTCTGCCTTCTCTGCTCCATGCATACTGTTGTAAACCTCTCTCGTGTCACCCCTCAATCGTCGTTTCTCCAAGCTAAAGAGCCCTAACCCCTTTAACCTTTCTTCATCGGCTATCACAGGGACCTTTCCACAACATATTTCAAGACGTAGAGCTTCCGGCTAGCATGTAATCCACTAACAAAAGTAAATGAAGCCAATTAAGTACCTTTCTGTTAAATATACATTTTCTTCAATCAGGTCGAAGTAGCAGGGCATCCTCCCTTGCTTGGCAAACTCTTTCCAACGCTGCGGGTCCCTGAAGTCTTCCATGACGCACAGCGGGCGAACCATCGAGGACTCCCGAAGGAGAACTGGCACCTGCTCGCTCTCTGTCTTGACCTTCTTCCTTTCCCGGGAGTCCCCGTCGCTTCCGGAGTCACTCTCCAAGTCCTGCCTCCGCTTCTTCAGGGGCCCCCGCTCTTTCATATCGCTTTGACTCAGAGTCTTAACGTAATCTTTCCTCTCACTCACGGCGACTGGCTCTTTAGCCGAGTTACTGCTAATCTCGGGCGCCTGCACGGAGCCCTTCTCTCTTGGATCACGAGCTTGGAACTTACTTGACTGGTTGGGGAAGTAAGGCTGGCTTTCGTCCACCCAACAGTCCACTTCTTCATATTCCTCGTGGTCTTCGGTTAGCGAATCGGGGACCTGCCCTTGGATTCTCTCGTAATGCATCCCAGGGGGCCTATTACTCAACCTTGGGTCCCAATACCCATTGTCTTGCCAGTAGTTATGGGATGCAACATATGGCCCTGAACCTGGTGGGTAAACATACCCGGGGAAAATGCCGTAGCTGCTGTCAGGTTGTTGGTACGTGCTGCTCGGTTTCTCCAGCTGCGAGAAGTCCCACCCCAAGGTCCCCAGGTCCTCTGCTGAATGGAAGCCTTCTTCTCTGGAGAAATCTTCTCCTGTGTCTGCTTGATCACCAAAACCTAACTTCCCCTGCCTACTGTCTGGCTTGGAAACACTGGCTTGTTGCCTACACGTATTATCACCCAACTCATAGTCCTTGTCAAAATAGCGCAGCTCTTCTTGCCGCGGCGACTGAACTACAGATACTGGCGCTGCTAATGCTGTCCTTTCATCTAGCTTCGGTTTGCTAACAGAATCTGATGCCAGCTCTGTCTGACTGGTACTGTCGACACCATCACTTTGAGGTTGGGAGACACCCAGCTGAAGGATTTCAGGCTCTGCTCTACCGTGCTCCATAGATGTTGCCGGGCTTCCCTCCGCACCTCTAGAAGTAACACACTTGGTTTCGTATTGAGGACCGTTGTCCGACTCCATGTCATCTTGTATTTCTTCATAATACGGCTTGCTGGACTCTGGCCTGCCATCTTCCCAGTGATCCGAGTAGCGCCTGCTACTCTGGCTGTTCCGAGAGGAAGAGGAACTGCTCTCCTCCATGGATATCGTAGAATTCTTGGGAACGACCACAACCGACTGGAGGCGGTTCCTCGGAACACTGCTGTCATCTGAATCCGAGTCGTCCGTTTCGCTTTCTTCGCTACCCGGTTCGCTTGCGCTTTCAGCGGTGTCGGAATATTCCTCATTACGAATTAGTTCAGGAGTGCTGCCACTACTGTCGCATCCTGGGGCTTCAGCTAGCATTTCCGTTTCTTCTACAGTCACAACAATATCGCAAGATGGGGACAACGCTTCTGAAAATACGGATTCCACCAAGGAGTCATCTTTGTCCTTCATCATCGAGGCTTCAGGACAGCAGTCTTTCACATCAGATGTGGTTCGTTCTTCAAGGGCAACCACATCCTCCCCCCCATTCGGCTCCTCTTTTTCTAGGTCTTCTATTGGCATCTCTAAATAATAAGAATGCTCATTTTTAACGGGGGATTTTGTTTTTTCTACAATGGGATCAACATGCTGAGCATCTATTTCAAGAGCTACTGCAGGACACTCTACTAGTTCTTCCCTCTTTTTCTGCAAAGTTCTCTCCAACCGGGAGAATACATTTTCCGAAGGTGGCTGTTGTGCAATAAATTGATTGTCTAATTTCACTTCCATGGGATGCTCTTCCACAGAAGCATCTCTCACTGGGCTACTCTCTGAGAAGCTGAAACTTCTAGCAACACATTTTTCACTTTCAGTAACAGTTTTTGACAAATTTTGATCCTCAACATCAGTTTTTAACAAATTGTGATCCTCAACATAGCTGCAGGTTTCTGTTTGTGGTTCTACATGAACATCCGTAAGAGATTCCTGAATAGCTTTTGTATCTGAAGGTTCAGCTTCAATTTCAACTTCTGAATAATACAACGACGGAGTGGCATCCTCCGAAAGGTAGCAAGGGGCTGGATCTTTGGTTTTATTACCGGGATCGGTTAGGTCATCCACTTTAGGTAATATTTTAGAATGATTTAAATTCACAATACAGGAGGGAACGAATTCATACTCAGAAAGAACCAGAACTTTTTTTTCTTTAAGCAAACTGTTGGATTCACAAGAAAGAACGGGGGAATCATCTAGATCGTGTCCTTTAGAAAGGCACGCAGTTTGAAGCCCATTAGATGACACTTCACCTAAACTAGGGCTCTTGACCCGAAGTGGTACATCGGAACTATCTAAGCTATCATCAGAAGACATTGCAACTACCTCCACTTTGGAGGTACAGGATAATGTCACATCTCTGGGCTTGTCTTCTGGCGACACATTTATATTCAGTTCTACTGGAGAACAATTTCTTAAATTATCATGTTTTACTGTGACTAAAGACTCCCCTTCTTTAATACTGTCATGGCTATCCATTCCGGCAAGTTCAACAGACTTTGAAATAGGAGAACTCTCTTTTGATTCACCTAGCTTTTTGAAAGTAGGTGAATCATTTAACTGACTTAACACTGAAACAATCCTTTCTGATTCTGGCTTCTGTGTAATAGTTTCTGCCTCACAGTTCTGCACACAAGGCGCCTCTGAGTCTACACAATTAGACTGCTCTCTGATTTCCTCAGATTCTGTACAACAGAAAGAACTTTTACATTTATCTGTCTTTGGAGCAGATGATGACTTGGAAGAGGTGGACTTGTGACGGGAAGAAGTCACACTGCTGTCTGCTTTAGAGTGGGATGTTCCCTTCCGATGTCCCACCTCACTCACTGGAGAGTACCTCCTTGATACTTCACTTTCCGAAATCCTCTTGGATTCCCGGTCCGATTTTGTAGGCTTTCCTTTTCTCTCCGAGTCGGTGTGAGAGGATTCTATCTTGCTATCTCGATCAGACTTGGAATAGGAAGAAGTCCTAGAGTCTCTGTAAGATGAGGAATGAGAGGATGTACGCCTTGTATCTGTCGATCTGGAATATGACCTCCGATACTCCTCTTCTGAATCTGAACTTTCTCTTGTCCTGCTATCCATGTACGAACGAGAATATCGTGTCTTTTCTCTATATGGTGAGCTCCTATGGTACCTTCGGTCAGAGTCATAGTAATGAGACCGTTCAGATCTGGAATAAGAAGAACCGGTTCTAGAACCTCTCTCAGATCTAGAACGAGAACGAGATCTGCTTCGCCTCCTCCCTCGGTCAGATCTGGAATGGGACGAAGAGTACCTGGAGTCTCTCTCAGATCTGGAGTAACTGGAATATTTTTCATCTCTGTCCGATCTAGACCGTGATGAAGATTTTGTCTGCTCATCAGTTTTGAGAGAAGTAGAGCTCTTTCGTGAATCTTTTTCTTTCTCCAAGCTAGTTGATATTTTAATTTCGTGGGACCTCTGACTTGAGGAAGTCCTCACAGAATCTTCATCCGATTCAGAAGCTGGCAACGTGCCATCAGACTTCCTCTTCGAACTATGCTTCTTAGAACTGGGGAAAGCGCCCTTGGAACTGTCCAAAACCTCCTCCTCCTTCCCAACACGGGACTCTCCTTTCGCTGGTGCTATTTCTGCTTCCACAGAAATGACTGGAGCTAAATGTTCTTCTGAGCCATCCGACACAGTATTTTGTGTAGTACTTTGCTGCAAAGTTTCTTGTGATGCATAATTTGAGGACTCCGTTGTCATTCGGACAGCAGTTTCGACAGGTGATGGCGACGGAGGCGAAGCAACCGTCGGTACTGCAATTGGAACTGGTGGAAAAGCTGCTGGGCTCAGTATGGGTACTGGGACAAGTAGTGTTGGTGGAGGTGGGGGTGGCGGGAGGGGGGGGGGGGGGGGGGGGGGGCGATGAGGGCACCTCCACCACTTCTGCTAGAACAGTTGGAGTGAGAGCCACAGTTGGCAATGCCACAACAGCTGGGGAAGGCTTGGTCGTCACGTTCAGCAGATGTTTCTTGAAATGGATCTTGCCTAACTCTACCTTCGGTTTTGGTAGTGAAAATTCCTCTGTAGCTCCAGAAAAATCCCCAAGATCAATTTTAATTTTGGAAGCCAGGTCAGTTTGAGGCGGTGCAGCCGGGGAACTCGAAGTCTCGTTTTGCTTGTCGTTTCCAAGGGCCGTCAGGAACCTGTTCTGCAAGGTCTTCTTGGTTAGACTGAAGCTAAAGGACACCTTTTGCCTGCCTTGCTCCTCAAGGTTAACTTTCGTTCGGGTGCCTTTGGGCAAGAAACGGCTAGATGCCACTCCTTTGAACACTGGCCCTTTGACAAAGCCAGGCTTCTGGACATTTTCAGCCTTGCCCTGAAAACAAGAAAACAAGCAAGTGAAATCATAGCAGTTCACATAAACTACACCCCAAATCATCAGATTCAGAGGCAAAGACAGAAGGGAAGAAAAGGCCTGACGGCCAAAAACAGAACAGGGGTTCGTCGTCAACAAGCTGCTTAATCACCAAGCGAGCCTAAGCTAGAAGCCTTTATAAGAGTCAAGGAGTACCATCTGACCCATTCTGTCCAATAACTGTCCTCAGTAATCTCCCCAAAACCATAATAGGACCCGCGGTAAGTAGGAAATACCAAAAATCAGCAAATACCGTGCTACAGACAATTACAAGGTATCTCACGTAATTTTTATATATTTATTCGTTTTTATATATTTTTATGTATTGTAATTTTTTCTTATAAATTATTCACCATTACCAGTCCTCCTCAATTGTACAAAGGTTTTTAGGAGGACTCCTTCTTTAAGTCTATTTTGAATTAGTGCACATTCTTCCTCCAACAGAGGTCCAGCTATCCTCCAGTTTCAGGGTCTTCCTTAGGGAGTTCAACGTATTTCCAAACACAAGGCTGCCAAATACCAAGTTATTTATCCAAATTTCACCAATGAACATCGCAAAAAGTCTCTTAGTGAGCTCAAGGCTTCCTCCAAAGTGCTTTTCACTTTATGTTTATGTGACAATTAATATAATGGTGAATAATTTATAAGAAAAAATTAAAAAATATATAAAAATGAATAAATATATAAACATTACTTGAGATCCCTTGCAATTGTCTGTAGCACGATATTTGCTGATTCTCAGTAATCTCCCAGCAGTTCCCTTCTTTGGCTACAAAGTGGGCAGCAGTGCCCGGGCTGAACCCCTATCTGACAACCCTTGATTTCAGGAGGGCTCACAGAGAGAAGACGCACGGGACACAAATTATGAACTGAATGAAGAGGCCACGGCATGAACTGCACATGATTCACAACATTCCTGGTTGCTCCCTAAAATGCCTGCTATTTGAGTTTCCTTTCAGACTTTTGCTCTCCGTCCACTCAGGCAAACGTTAATCAAAATCAGCACTGCTGTTTTAAAACAACTTCCTAGCATTCAGGAGGGGGGGGGGGAGGTATGATCGTACCCACCTCGTTCTCTTCTTCTCTGTTGCAATCCAGCCAAGGCAGCATGCAAAAGAAACAGAGAAAGCATGAATACAAAAAGGAAAAAGAAAGGACTCTGGTTCTTTGGTATAAACTCTGTCAGAACGGGACGACACAGGTAAGGTCTCAAAGCAGTAACCAGGGCTTTCATGTGCAAAGTAATGACATCCCCATTGGATCCTGTGGGTATGAATTCAAGTTCCAGTGTTTTTAAGGTAACCTGGGAATGCTTTGGTGTCTCATATCCCAGTGTCTAAGATCCTGTTAAAACGAAACGTGACAAATATGAAGACGTGTACCCCCAAAAAAGATAGAAGTACATCTTAATCCTTTCCTGTCTTACAATTTAACAGGGTTTTAGAACTGAGGCACAAGGCGATATATGCTAGCCACCTCCAAGGGGAAGAGGTAACAGCCCTATTTGATTCTGGAGATCAGCCGTTTTCCAGAATTTTCACATTCAACACACATTTATAGGGTAAACCTTGTTAAGGCAAGTCAGCTTATTTTGCATTATCCTCTCCCCACCCCCCAGCCACAGTGCTTTTCGAACAATTCAGCTTCTACTTTCATTAATATATTAAGTTGACATGACAATTAAATTGTCAAGTAAGAAGTCATAAAAAAATTAGGTGCAGAAAGGGTATAAAGCTAACATGGTTAAGATTACTTCACGATCTCTACTCCACTCCTAACTAGCCCATTACTAACCCCGCCCATAAACAGCACAATCACAAAAAGTCACACACCCCAATGGTACTAATTAAAGAGATATGAATTTCAATACTTTTAAATCACAGTTGGTAAGTGTTAATCGCGTACAGTTTCCTCAGATTCACAGTTCAGGGCTGAGTCCCTCGTCACGTTTTTGAGGTGCAGAGATTCCGCTGCGGAAAGAATTATCTACTGGGGGGGGACTACCTATATAGCATGGTCTG